TAGCGCCGCGGCGGTTGCGCCGATCTGGTAGAGGTACCAGTTCAGCCTTGCCATTCCGGTGCGTAGTTGCGCTAGAATGCTGGCTTCTTTCCAGGCCAGTCCGTCATACAGCTTGCGTGTGTGGTTTCCCGGCAGGGCTATGTCGATCTTCTTCGAATATGCTCCTACGTTGTCGGGCAAGGCTCCGTGCTTCTGTCGCACGCTCTGTAAAGCGATCCTAAGTGCCGTCGAGTAGGCTCTGGCCGGCCGTTTTTGTGGTGTCTTGTTTACTTGGGTACTTTCCTTTGCTGCTGCTTTTGGCCGCTTGCGCCAGGTCTGACTCTATCGATGATGGAAGCCAGAAGAGAGTGACTCTTGTTGCCTCGTCTCTGCAGAGCTTGCACGCTGGCATATAGTTGTCGGATCTCTTGTTGGCCTGACTGCTGCCGCGGGTTGTGCATCACCAACACTGCCGCTTGTTGCGGGTGAAGACGTGGATGGCCCGGTACTCGAGTCTCTCTGGGAGAGACTTGACCGCTTCTGCCAGTGCCGCTAGCTCTGCTACATACGGGTTCTGCTCCGTTCTCTGACCGAACGTACGCGAGGCCGTCACGACGCCACCGCCCCCTCTGAAAGATGCGGGCAGCGTCGTCGCCGTTCCAAAGCCCACAACCTCGTTCCTTGCTGAGCTCCCTGTCGCTATCCTCACTGCCCATCCAGACCGGATTGCCTCAGAGGCCTTGACCGTGTCGTCGTCGACTACTGTATCAATACGACGTTCCCAAGGAGCGATCGAATACCCTTCGATAGTCTCCAGCTTGTCAAGGGGTAGGTCGCGATAGGCCTCCGCCATCAACTGGAAGGGTGACGGAAACCGTCTAAAGGCCACCGCCCGCAGACGTCGAAGCGGATGGGTCTTGGGAAGGCTTCGCAGCCGTACCCAGAATGTCGTTGATTTTCTGTCGTACCTCTCTTGCGCCGATTGTATGCTTGCCTCCGCTTCAGCGACCGCCGTGGCCACCGTGTTGAAGGTTCCCACGATCGCTTGGGCGCCAATCCTCTGCACTCGGTTGATCACCCTCATCTGCGCTGCTCGACACCTGTACCTCCAGACGTTCGACGCGTAGTCCATCGTCGGTGCTACGGCCGCCACGAAAAGCTGTCTGGCCGTCGCCGGAGACAGGCCTTTGAGCCGTTTGAGCCCCAGCACGGCCTCCAGCCCTTTTGTCGTCGCGTCTGCGATGTGCTTTTCGAAACGGAGTTTCGTGTCCATCATCACTCCCAATACTTTGACGTGGTCCTTTGCTCGGACAGTGTCACCTTTGATGACGAAGCTGGTTGAGTCCGCCGGCAGCCTCCAGTTGCGCGTGAAGTGGATGATGGCCGTCTTGTCCGTCTCGAACGTCGCCCCGCTTCGTCGTTCCCACGCGAGTGCTCGATCGATAATATCTTGGATGCCCTGACGGTTTGCTTCGCGCGATCGGCCTGTGACCCACGCGTGTAGTCATCGACGAAGGCCAGCGCGCCCCCGTTCTCGTCGATTTGGTGCTGTACGAGATCGGCGTTGAAGAAGAGGAAGAGCACGGGCGAAAGCGGCGAACCCTGAGGCAGTCCGGCTTGTGGTAGCGGACGAGCCTCGGACTCGTGACCGTTAACCAGGATGCTTGCCGTTCTATGGGAGCAGAAGGCGTCCACCCATCTCACCAGCTTGTCCGGGATCCCCCGCGCTCTGAGTCTTTGAAGTAGTCTCTCTTTGTACACACCATTGTATGCTCCCTTGACATCGAAGCTGACCAGACTGACCACCTTTCTCTTTCTCCACGCTCTGTAGATGTACTCCTGCAGCAGTACCAGCGCCTGCTCTGCCGACCTCTGCTTGCGAGCGCCAAAGTGGCTCGTGGGAAGGAGGCCGAACGTCTCGACAGCGTGCGAGATACGTTCTGCCAGGACCGACTCCAGCACTTTTCCGAGCGTCGAGAGAAGCGAGATCGGTCGCCAGGCCTTCGCTATACCGTAGTCGCTTTTGTTTGGCTTCTTCAGCGGGATGATCTTTGCGTGTCGCCACTGCCTCGGCAACACCCTTCATCCAGTGAGGTCTGGAAGAGTGTAAGCACCCTCTCCTTCACCACTGGCCACGTGTGCTTCCACACTGCCACCGGCAGACCGTCCTCTCCGGGTGCTTTCCACGACTTTGCCGCAAAGAGCTGTCTCTCTACTTCTCCCAGTGTGAGGTTAGGGAAGGGTACCGGCGATCGTTGTGGCCGATCCCCCTCCTCCTCGATCATGCTGGGGAGAGGAGGGAAAAATGTGGAGAGCAGCTCTTCGGCCTGTTCTGCGGCGTCTCCCGTTTGGGAACCATCCGCCCTTTTAAGTTGAGGTATCTTGTCGAAAGATGCCCCTTTACTGGCGTCGAGATACTTCGCGGCCTTCCAGATATTGGCGTCGTCGGCCAGAAAGTCCTCCCAATGGCTCTTCTTCTGTTGTCGGATGGCATCGTGATATTGCTTGGCTGCCGAGCGTGCGCGTTGCTCCAGTTCAGGTTGACTGTTACCTGCCCTTCTCTCCGCTCTCGCCCGGTTTCTCCAGTGGGTATGGATCTGCCGGAGCTGGGTGAGGTCAGCCGTCCACCATCTCTTTGCATACGGTGATGGCTTGGCCGTAGGTGTCAGTGCCTCTACTGCCTCGCACACCACAGACATCAGTCGATCCGTCTGTTGCTGCACCGTACCTCCTGTTGGCATTCGCCCTAGGTTTGCTTCTACTCTCTCATTGATTTGCTTCCATGGGGCGTTCTTGAGGAGGAGCCGTGGCCGGCTTTCCATCTCAGGCGCGGCGATGTCGAAGGTCGTCTCGATCGCCCGGTGGTCCGACCCGTGGTCCGTCTCGTGCAGGCCGCATCGTACCACCGTTCTTGCTAGCTCTTCGGACGCGAGGGATAGGTCGATCGTCGTTGCCGCATCGTTCTTCTCCCACGTCTTCGTGCCACGCGGAAGGAGGCTGCGGAGCGAGTACTCGCTCATTAGATCGATGATCGGGTCCGCCTCGCCCTGCCGGCCCTCCGACACATCGTCACCTCCCCACAGGTAGTCGTGGCAGTTGAAGTCTCCTACCAGAACCACGTCCACCCTCTCCCCTGTTCCTCCTCGGACATTCGTGATAGCTTGTCTCAGCAGGTCGCACGCCTGCCGCAGCATCTCCGGCCTCTGCACCGGCACGTACACCGACGCCACTATCAGTCTTCGATCCGGAAGCCGGACGATGGCCGCAGTGATATCCGAGGACGCTATCGGCAGCTGCTCTGTCTCTACGTCTCTGTTCACCCAAAGCAAACTCCTGATTCCCCATCTTCCTTCGTCCCTCCACTCCGTTGGTACCATCCTCGTCCACCTGCTATTGCCCATCGGAACCGTAATGACCTTACCTTCTATCCTCCGCGCCCATGGCTCCTGCACCGCTATGGCCGTGAAGTCGCGCAACGCCTCATCATTCATCAGACTTTCGTGCACTGCAGCCTGTTTCCTCACGTTGAGCTGAAGGATCTGGACCTTCCTACTCATGGGAACGCGGATACAGCTTCGGACAGTTCTTGCTGAACGACTCGTGCGGTCCGCCACAGGGCACACATGTCACGATCGTCTCACGGCATTCAGAGTGGTGGTGGCCTACCTTGGCGCATCGTCCACACACCCGGGGGTTTACGCACTGGTACGCCTTGTGCTTCGTGATCTGCTGGCAGTTGTAGCACTGCTGGGGGCGCGGCCGCCGTTCAAACGCCATCGTCGTGCCGGACTCTCCTCCAACGTGGAAGAAGCCCTCGGAGATCAGTCTACGCGCATCACCGGCCTTGGTCACGAACACGACCATGGACCCATACGCCTTGGGTATCTCTTTCTTGCTAAGCCAAGAAATCTTGGCAACCGTGGTCTCGTTTTCTCGGCTAAGTGCCTCCGCCGCTTCAGCCCTGACATTGCCCTTCTCATCCAGTACCTCAATTCGCTTCACGTTGTCGATCTTCACGGGATAGAGTTCGTCTCGTAGCACGCGTGCTCCACGGCCGAAGCTCTTCTCCGCGATCTGCTTGACATACCTATGCTCCGCATCGTCGCGACAAATGATCCGGATCCTATCCGCGTTCCTTGGGTCTACCGTGACGGCCAGACACCGCCAGCTACCCTGTCCGTCCAACGCGCGCATCTCCTTTTCCACCGCAGCCCGGATCCGGCCTGGGTTGAGCTTGTCGCTGCCTTCTTCAACTCTTGATGTATCGATCGTACAGAAGGGGTCGCTGCGGCTCGGCAGCGTCGCGTTGCCCGCCGTGGCTACCCGCGAGTCGCGACCTTGCCCACCTAAGCCGCTTCGCGCGACGTCCGCGTAGGACACACTTGGGCTGTTCCGCGTCGCAGCAACTGTTGCGAGTGCTTCGAGGTTTTCGTTCGTCTTGGCGCTTTCGTCCTCCACGCGTTCTTTCATCGCTTGCAGCTCTCCTTTGACGGCCTGTAGCTCGCTCTTGACTGTTTGCAGCTCCGAAGTGACCACGCGAAGCTCTGCCTCAACGTTTTTATTCCGTGCTTCCGACTTCTTCCACGCATCGAACATGATCTTGACCGCTGTGTGTAGCTCTTTGACCTGCTTGCCCATCGTCAGGAGCAGCCCTTTGTCGTCATCCTCTATGGGTTTCGCGCGTTCCTTGGCCAGGGTTGTGGCTCGCTTGGTCGTCGTCCGCCGGCCACCACCAGCAACCTCCGTCGCTCCGTCGGTCGCATTGTCGATTATCTCTTGATGAGTCTGGTTCAGTTGGGCTTTCGCGGATGGCTTTCGCACCCTTCGTGATGGCAGGTCCTCGTCGCTCGCTGCCACCGCCTCCCTCGCAACGGTGATGGACGTCGAATCTGGCTCGAGATCCATCGCGTCGGGACGTGCGCAGAGACGCCACGCGGTAGATCGTGCTAGTGCCACGTAGCGCGTTTCGGAGCTTCTCGACAGCGCTCAACCCAACAACGTCGAATGATTCTTCACACAATCAAATATCGAAAATTCCCCAATCCTCTGATCAATACTACAGTAGAAGTCGAATTTGGTTTCCGTCTTTCTTTGTCGTTGAACAGAAACGCTATATGCCATATAGTAGAGTGAGGAGACAGCAGCCGAAAGAAAGTTTAGTGCTCCTCTCTCGCCCCATCCACAATCTGACGTCCCCATTCTTAGTACCACTTCATTGGCTGACTGAATTTCTAAGCAACACTAACTATCAATACTGTCGTTCTGCCAACCACTGCAGGTATCTTGGCCTTCTCCGTTTGCTACACAATGGGCAATGGCCGATTTACCGAAGCAAAAGAAGAGCGGAGAGCAGAGTTACCTGCCGTCACGATTACCATTCCCAAGAGGACCCAGGGTGCAGAACTATCGCAGTAGTGGCGTGATCTCCAGATTGGCTTTTAGCCCTGTATCATTGAATCAAGTCGACGATTGCACCTATTCCCACCGACTAGGAGACCTTCCACCACATACAGGCGAGATTTGCACGATTCAAAGACACGATAGGGACCTGACCTCCACCCAATTTCCAAAGCCGGAACCTAAAGGATACAGAGACCAATTGGCCGAGTCAACCGAGCATCACGGTTGGGAAGATGATAGACTCAATTATATAGAGGTTCTCGCTTGGATGGAACAGACGAAGGGTTTACGTCACAAGCAACAGCCAGACACCAAGACGTCGAAACTGGTCGGCTCACCTAAGTGGAAACGTGGAATAGATTTGAGTGCCATTGAAAGGCTACCAGATTACATACAGTAGATGGCAACAAGAAGCGCTCGACTTGTTTCGGTACTATAAGCCAAACATGATGCTAGACTTTGTACTGCTCATTCAAGCTGGTACTGTGATTATTCAGAGCCAGTCGCTGATGCGTCAGGTAAGTGAACGCGTCTGCGCCTCCCAGCACAAAAACCGAGTCCAGATTAGTCGTCGCTCTGTAGATCTCCCTCTAATGTGACCGGGATCAAAGGGGAACCTGATGCCACAAAGATTTGCTTGACGAAGGTTTGTTTTTGCTTCTACGGAAGGAAGGAGAGGCAGGTGAGTTCACAAGGCCAGTGACTAGCCCAAGTCTGGCTCTCAAGGTGGGCAATGGGAAAAGGAGAGAGGAATGGCGCCAACGTGTACCTTGTTTGCACGGATTTATTGAATTAAAGTTGGTTCAACTGGGCTGATATCACTTGGCCTGATCAAAAGTAGAAGGCTGTCGGTTACATTTACAATCAAGCGAGAGGCCGGCGTGATTGACGCAAGCCCGTCCTAGAAGCCGGCAAATCTACACCGGTGCTGGCTCCTATTCTTTCGTTCCCCATCGTAAGCCTTGCTAATTTGAGAAAAGCCTCCTGTTCTTTTGCCTTGTCTGTTTTAGTCTTGTCTTCAGTCCTTCCAACCTCAGCATTGTTGGAAAGCGGTTGGTTTTGGACCTGATTCGAATCTTGCTCAACGTGGTCCCATCTTAGGCCATGTCGGCGAGTCTGTTCCTTCTTGATGTTCTCTTGTAGCTCATTTGATGTATCCAGTTGAACGGTATACATGGGATTTCCGTTCTCCCCAGCAGATGGAGACATACCACCTGGCTTATAAAGGGGAATAGAGCGGCAGGCAGAGACCAGAGCACAGTGGAATCTGTTGCTCCGCTGAGAGCGGAGTTTATCGTCTGACCAGTTGTTGCGATGGGTGAAGGCAATTCTCAGCTCCATTTTGTTGAGCTCATGGAGACTGGCAACGTTCAATCCTAATGTCTCTGGGACATAGTCTCTAGAGTTCTGGGCTAGAAACTCCTCTAGTATGCCTCTTAGACGCATGATATCCGTAAAACTGGTCCTGAAGTCCACGAACAAAGACATTCCTTGACGGTTGATGCCGGATCTGGTGTAGTTCTCCACTCGTTTTTGAGTGAGTTGTTCATTGGAGATTTGCAAATCGCAGTTGTTGTCAAGTCGTCTGAAAACCGTGTAGAGAAGAGACTGGCGTTTTACCGTACATGCAATGCCTGCAGTTGCACCAGCGTTACAGACGTTGATGACGTCGCCGATATCGTAGGGGTGGTCAAAGAAAACAAAGACGATGCCAACAAGAAGATGATGGAATGTCCGACCAACGGCGAATGAGAGACCGATAGCCAAAGAAGACAAGACACTCTGAATTTCCTTCATCGCTGGTACGTACGCAATCACTGTCCCAGTCGTCAGAGACATCTTTTGAGGGACGAACTGAGGGACTTACTGATGAAGAATATCATGACCGCGGCAATGATAAAAAGACAAAACCAATCGAAAGTATTAATACAATGATCCATATTGTTGATGTTGTGGTATATGTCCTGGCGCGTTTTGCCTGCTTCTCGAACGATCGCCGTGAACTCCTCAAGGCGGATATCGTGGCCTTGACCGTCGTTCAAGGTGGCGAAGATTTTGGTGGCTTCCGAAGCACGGTGAGGACCAAGGATGTCTTTGATATCACCCAGAGTCAAGCCAAACTTGTCTTGAGTAACACAGGAAAACCAGATCCGTCTTGCAAGTGCAGTCGCCGAGTCTTCATTCCCCCAAGCACGCTCTATAATAGCATAGGTACTTGCTGGACGCATCCAGTGGGCATGAGGGTCATCTGAAATAAAATTTCCGAATAGTCCAACAAGCTTGTAGCCATCAAGGCCGAGTCGAGCAAGGTAGCTTGAAACCCTCATTCGCTCTTGTTTATGGCTTCCGCCGTTGGCATTGCGGATGATCATATCTTCCTCGTCGAATGTGCCACGATGGAATGGGTGAAGGTATGTAGACGCGTCGTAAAGTGTGATCAGGGCGTTCTGGAGATCTTTCGTACGAGTAAGCTTGAAGTGATTTGCTCGATAGTGGTAGTGTACGGAAATGTAGGATATTAAAATCTTCTCGACAAAATAGAAGGCCACCCAAAGAGTAGCTTGTTCCAAAATATCGGCTACAACATCGTCCCAACCAAATGTGTTTGGATCCTTATTGACGTTTACAGCAAGGAGCTCATTTGTGTTGATGCACTGGAATGACAGCAATCGTTAACACCGCCACGGAGACTGCGTTTGGATGAATATGACTTACAGCGGCAAAGAAGATAAAGGTTACAATAGTTGTGCCTAGAAAGCAAATCGGGCGACGCATGAACTTCAGGATTCTCCAGTACCGCTGATGGGAAGAGTTGATGTATCTAGGTAAATTTATCTTAAGCGCCTGGCCATGTATTTCGTGGTAACTCGTGAACTGACCTAGCAAGAAACCTAAAGAGATATGGCAAGCCGAGTCCCAGAAGGTCAAAGAAAACGGCTGCCACCCAGGTTACCTCCAACCATAAGCTGATGTAATAGACCAGGTTGCGATATTGTTTGTCCTGAATTGACTGTGGTGTGGAGCCGTCGGCGAAATCTGCATCATTGCTCAATGTAATGAGAGGAATAAGAAATGCAACGAAGATGACGATGACAATTATACAGTATCGAACGGCCCACCATACAAGACGTTTCCGGTACTGAGCTATAATAACGGGTGGCAGCGGCAATGGTGGCGCCTCGCTGTTCTCAGGGGTCTGATGTCCCTCTGCCGCTGACGAAGCCTTCATTTCTACCCAATTCTTCTTGGTGTGGTGCTCTGGAGAGGCTTGGTCAGATTGAGGGGGGAAAATGGGAGATTGAGGATGTATAGCAGCGGTAAAGCCGGGGGATGTTGAGGGAGACGCCAGAGGAAGCCGGGTATCCGAGGCCATACGTTCTACCTGCTCACTTGGAAGTCGCTTTCGATAGCTGGGAAGCAAACTACCACCAGAACCAAACTCCATTTTGCAGTTCAGTAAGTCCACGGATATCTCGCAGCAAAAAATACAGGTGATTCTAAGCATTTTATGAAGTGACGGCCCCCTCTTTTGTGAAATATATCTGCCTGATCTTGGGTCCTCGTTATTCACAGGGCTCAAGCCAACGGTCGAGACTACTCTAGTCAGAAGTTTAAAAGGTAGTCTTGGCATGCTCCATATACAGCCACTGGCAGAACACAGGCGAGGGAAGAATATGAAAGGGGCGTCGAGGTCACCCTCCCGAAATACACGCTGCTCACATTTGTACTTTTTCGGGGGCTTCAGCACTTAGCGCACTGATTTGTGGAATGGTAGTGCTGACGAGCGCCGATTAGCGGCGGCACCAAGGTCCTGCATCTCCACATCTTCTAAGATAAAGTAGCCCCTCGTTAGTGGAAGGAGCGATAGTCAAGCGCGGCTGGGAGCTATGGATCAGCGAACGCTTCGTGCTAGTAAAACCGGGCTGAATTCGGGGTGGTTGATGATTGTATCTCAATTTCCCTTCACACTGGGCCTCACATGTACCTAGTATCAAAATGATCCCCTTCAGTCCTTGTCCATACACAACCTCTTGCTGTGATTATCCCCTCTTTGATGTGTTTCATGCCTTGTCAAAGGTATGGGTCGAGCGGCAGAAGGGCGTTGTACGTACCCATATCAAACCTAGACTACGAAATTCTCAAGTATTGCTCTAGTCATAGCTGAATAAGATCGGCAGCAAGTCAACGCCTGATAGGTGAGCCGAAAACAAGGAGTACGTATCGTTCACGAAACACTCGACACGGATTCAAAGGAATCTGGAATATCTCGACCTTCACATTGCTTCAAGTTTTTCCAGGAACATTCACTTGCATAACAATTAGAGGAGAACTCCAGTTCAGCAAATGAATTGTCTCTGAAAATCAGAAGGATAGCTTGGAGTCAATCCATCTACACTGTAGATACCTTCCTTGGTGGAACCTCAAAGTACTTAGTATACCAATCATTCACCTGGAGTTGCCGCAAGTCTCCAGGCTCTGTAGGCCTCGCCAGGAAAATTTCAAGAGCCCAGCCTGAGTGAAGCGATAACCGGGAAAATCTGTATCAAAATCTAAGGCGAGGACGGAAATATTAGAAACCAGGTTTCTAAAGGGGTAGGGCGTTGGAATAGGTCCTACGCGGGCCGCGGCAGAATATGAGTGCCAACCCGGATCCGACCAACCGGGTCTAGCCTGTAACGGCGCTGATCTGAGTCGCGTTTTGGAGTCCTTGCTTGTTAAGTGGAACCATACGTTTACGAGATCTTCTTAAATATCTGAGGCCCTCAAGAGCTGTGTGAGCTGAGTGTTTATGTAGATGATCTTCTCGTTGAAGTGTTTTCCTGATGGAAAAATGAAGTTCTTACTTGGTGTCTCTCCATATGAAGCAGCGTTTGAACGTCACGAATCGCAAATTCAGTAAGCGTTCTGGTGCACAAGCTAGTAGAACTGCTTTCAAAATCAAGTTTGTTGAGTCAGCAAGCTAATTTCTCGTCTATCGAGGATGGTTGAGATATGCCGAAGAGGCCCAACTCCTCGCGCCGACGTAATGTCATTTTGCAGTTAGTACTAAGCCTCCTCACTAAACCGTGCCGTAATAAATATTACGGAAATCTGAATAGACTTTTCGGCGACTAACCATTGCTTGCGCAATCGGAAATCCCCCACAACGAAAGTATACCGAGAGAATTACAATAGGTATCACACATATGGCGAAGGACAAGAATAACATTCTTCGTTGGTGCATCTGAGTTCGAGATAAGGTGAAGTTCCTCGGCATGACTAGGAGGCTGATGCTTTATGCTCACTGATCTATCTCAGGAACACGTCAAGTAACAATGCCGAAACTTTGATGAGAATGAGTTAAACACAACGCGAGCGCTTTGACCTCTGTATCCCATGAGACCGATCTTGCGTTTATGTATGTGTCGGAGTTTGCTACCGCGGAGTCGTCGCCGGGCACCCGGGGTCCGGAACCCCAGATTGGGGGCCAAATTTCAGTTGGGGCAATGGTGGTTGGGTTCTTTCACGTGCCATCTTGAATAATCACACCCCCAATTTTCGTCAGGTTGCGCAATGATGGCGTGCGAATTCGTGTTAAGAACAGGACGGGCATTTGGTGAGGCCTGTGACCAAAATTCACGTTTTGAAACACAATTACGCCATGAGAGACACACCTCACAAGACAAAATGTACCCGCATTCTTATCAAGCATCAATATCCGTGGACACGCGCCCGAGGCTGATGATACCTTCCAGGCCCCCTGTTAAACGCGTATCTTTCCCGCGAAGCCGGACAGCCGAACCATGTCAACAGGATATGTCGCTATTGCTTGACTTCATTGGTGAACAACGTTATCTTGATACTCATTATATATCCAAGTGAAGTTCCACGAAGACTGTCAACTTGGCTCCGTTACATTTGGTTTGCGCGCCCCCACTGTCTAGTTCAGTAACAACCCAACTAGCACTCTTATATTGTCTCAATCCAGCGACACCCCTCAACGATATGAGTAGCCACGACGACCCAGAGTTGCAGTCGCTGATCCCATTTACGCCGCAACACTTGTCGTCTACTGAAAGCTCAGATACCAAGCAGCTCGTAACCGGAACTGATGAGCCGAATGAAGCAGATTTTGTGACTGGGCCGACGTATCCATCACGCTCAATTGAAGACGATGTGCTTCCAGAGACATCGACACTCGGCCGCACGTTGACGTGGCAAAGCGCCTACATTCTTGTCATCTCAAGAGTGATAGGCAGCGGTATCTTTGCTACTCCGGGCGCAATCCTGCGCTCGGTTGGGAGCCCCGGTCTGTCACTCTCGCTTTGGATTGTTGGCGCAATAATTGCTGCATGCGGATTGATGATCTCCTTAGAGTTTGGCTCGATGCTGCCACGGTCTGGGGGAGACAAAGTATACCTAGAATTCACATATCGTCGACCTCGATTCCTAGCATCGACGCTTATCGCCATCCAAGCCGTTCTTCTGGGATTTACAGCGAGCAATTGCATAGTTTTTAGCGAATATCTGTTATTTGCACTGGGCGGCGACAACCCCAGTGATCTCCTTCGAAAAGGTATTGCAGTTGGACTCCTCACATTCGTTACCCTAATCCATGGTTGTTTCCCACGCTTCGGTATCAGGCTGCAAAACTTTCTAGGTTGGATCAAGGTTGCCTTGATTGTCTTCATGATATTCTCAGGTCTCTACGTTGTCTTGTTCCGACCAACGGAAGAATCTGCCCAGAAAACTACTGGAGTGCTCGGATGGAGAGACCTGTGGGAAAACACCAGTTGGAATTGGGGTGTAATTGCTACATCCCTTTTCAAAGTCTTCTATTCATACGCAGGGCTTGACAACGCCAACTACGTCCTAAATGAGGTCAAAGACCCAGTTCGGACCTTGCGATCTGTGACGATGTCGGCATTGATCACCGCGTGCGGACTTTACGCACTTATCAATATAGCATACTTTCTTGTCATTCCCATCGATGAGATAAAGCAGAGCGGCGAGCTGATAGCGGCCCTTTTCTTTGAACGAATCTTTGGTGAGAGAGTTGGCAAAACTATTCTTCCTCTGGCAGTTGCTCTGAGTGCAGGAGCTAATGTTCTCGTCGTTGCCTTTTCTGCGGTATGATCTCTCCTTGTTGTCAGCTTGTTGCGGATGCTGTACTTATACGATGACTTTAGGCGCGTACAAAACAAGAGATTGCCCGACAAGGCTTTCTCCCGTTTTCGGACATTCTGTCATCCACAAAACCCTTCAACTCCCCTCTAGGCGGGCTCTTTGTTCACTACATTCCATCATTTCTAGTCATTGCGTTGCCGCCATCCAGGGACGTTTATTCGTTTATCCTAGAGGTTGAGGGCTATCCAGGGCAAATTCTAGCGTTGGCAGTTGGAGTAGGGCTTTTGTGGCTACGTGTCAGACGTCCCGATATTAAACGTCCATTCAAGGCATTTATTCCGGCTGTGATCTTACGAATCGGCCTAAGCATAGCCCTACTTGCAGCGCCTTTTTTCCCGCCAGATATAAAGCCGCCAAACGGATTGTTTTACGCCACGTATGCAATTATTGGTGTGAGCATGTAAGTGAGACTTCCGACCAGACCGTAGATCTTTGTGGACTGATGCTGCAGTCCACCAGCCTGACAGCTGGAGTGATATATTGGTACGTCTGGACAGTCATTCTGCCACGTTGGGGAGGTTATAAGATTGAGGAAAAGGAAGAGATCCTGAGTGATGGAACAACCATTACAAGACTTGTCCATACAAACATTTAGAAGCCGATCGAGTACCACACATTTGTAACATGCAGCTTTTCGGTTCTCTTCCAGTGGCATCCTCTTTTTATTTATAGCGTAAATCTCTAAAATTCAGGCCCATACTCGTAATCGCATTTCCCTCGCGCATCCAAATGGTGATTCAACTAGGTGCCTTATGATTTAGTATCGATTCCAACGTTTGCTTGGAAGTCACTTTCGAAATATTTCAACGCCCGCTAGTCTCTCTCCCTAGCAATGGCTAAAAAGTCTCTTCACAGCAGATGGAGTGCGGTGGCAAGGATCTGTGATTATCAATGCGGACCATTATAACGATGACACCATTCTACTCCGCAACCATAACTTGGGCCGAGGCACGTTCGACCGAGCTTCATTGGGGCGATGCCCATGCGGATTTGAAATCACAACCGCATGGGTGTCATATTATCTCTCTCACAGTCAAAGCTTGAACCAATAGGTCCTGGAGTACGGTCACACCAAGTGTTTCGATTGGGGTTGATTATCAATCCACACATTGCCCATGGCCGGACAAATATCGCGTGCCAGGGAAGACCGTGTGGATCTAGGTTAGAATGAACCTCAAGTGTGGCTCGTCGAAAATGATTTATAGTTGGAGCTTTGCTGCACCTTTTGAGCCTACCATATTGTTGGTATTGATTTATCCCTATGACCCCAGTGCCACTACAAACTTTTAGTACTTAGGAGCGAGCATGGCAGCAGTAGAGGTTCAGAACGTCCCCTTTTCCGCAGGGCTGGGCTCTCCTCAGTACGCTCAACGCCACAGCGCGAATGATCTGCGCGAGTCGAATCAAAGACGCAAGGGAGTGGAAGCAACATTGAACTACCACAAAGATAACGAGGATGGATCACCTCCACATCCTACATACGTTGACAGGCCAGAAACGTATGACCGGCCATTTGAATCCCACTCTGTGACGATCAGCGACCTCACAGGCGATGAAGAGGAATTTTCTCTCGATAGAAATGGGTTTCAGATTCACCACAGCCGGTCGACTGAAAAGCAGTTTCAAGACGATGATCAGATCAGGTCGTCTTACTACGCCGAAGTTGAAGAACTTCTCAAAGCCGTGTGAGTATGGTATCCTCGAAAAGACTTCACGGGACCAATCCTATCTTGCCGTCGTTTCAGCTCATAAGTTATATGTAGGACGGGTGCTAGTCGCGTTTTTATCTTTGACCACACTATTCGTCGGCAGCTACCTGGCACAGCAGCACAAGGACGAGCAGCTCGCGGACCCGTGCAGAGAGTTCATATTGATCAATCTTACAAGGCCGCTCTTTCCCGTGTTCCCCACCACCTCCCAGATGATGCCCATAAGTTGCTCAAAGGTCGAGTGCAAATCATCAACGTTTGGAGGCCCATCAGAACAGTTCAACGAGATCCACTCGCCATTGCGGACGCCAGGTCTGTCGCCGACTCGGACCTAGTCATAACCGAATTGATTTACCCTGATCGGCGAGGAGAAACGTACGCAGTGAGACACAGCAACGCTCACAAGTGGTACTACAAAGATCGTCTCACACCGAACGAAGTAATTCTCATCAAGTGTTTCGACAGCAAGACGGACGGAAGAGCTAGAAGAGTCCCCCACACTGCTTTCGTTGATCCAACAGCAAGTTCGGATGCACCACCAAGAGAAAGCATAGAGGTTCGAGCTCTCGTTTTCCATCCGGAAGACCAAGTATAGGCCACAAATCTCAGCGTGTCTCTCTTTTTCATTTGAGGTGCGAATGCAAGGTGATGATGGATTTTCCTGTTTAAAGAAGCTTCATGTCGGGAACGATGATCAGGACGTGTGACAATCCCTGTCATTATTGTAGCAAAGAAGTAATATCACTTGCAATTCATCCTATACAGTCAAATCAGTCTGCTGGTAGTATATTCAGCAGCGAAGTGAAAAGACTCGAATAATCATGTCTATTTTACTCTTTGGTACTTACTATGCATTTGGACTTTGTGTTTTGAACCGACCCGCCATGGCCGTTCTGGTAGCTGAGTATACATATCAATGGACTTTAGAACTTCCTCGCCAAGGTTTAGACAGAAACCCCGAATCTGGAAACGATGCACTTCAATTTGATATCTTGACCAACTATCAACTATTCAATGGCGGCCGTTGGTTACGTACTCTGCAGCATCTCTGGGACTCACCACGTCAGACTCAGCAAGGGTCTCGTCCAACTTCTTACCCTTCTTCTTCTTTTTCTTGTCTTTCTTCGAGGTCGATGTTAGACTGTTTCCTAGGGCTGATTCCAAGGTCAACTCCCCGCTCAGGTCCACTTCTGGCTCGGCCGTGTCCGACCAAGGAACAGGAACTGGCTTGGAGGCAACCGTGGGTACAATCCGAGGCGACGGTTGAGACTCGCTTGGATTGACAGAAATCGAGTAATCGCAGCAAATTTCAATCAAGCTCTTGACTAAGAGCTTAGAGTACGTTGTTGCGTTGTCGAAACACCCTAGGAGACCGGCTTTGTTCAAAGAAGATGAGTCTTCGAATAGGTGACGGATGCGTCGCTTAACGAATGCTGAGAACCATGGGTCATCTTCACCGAGAGATTGACAAGCATCTGAAGCCAGAGAAAGAACCTCCAGGGCAGGCAAAGTCTCAGCGGAGAGAGAAACATTTTCCTTGGCAAGCTCGGCCAGCAGTGGAATCTTGTATGCTTGCGAAGTGGCATAAACATATAGACTTGTTCCAAGATAAGTGGCATTCTTTGGCGTGTCGCTGGAGTCTTTGGCCCGCAAGGTTTGCCATGATCCCGTATGGAGAAAGTGGATGAGTACATGGCCTGCCTCATCTGGTATATGCTTCAGCCGTATTTCGCCATGGCTTCGAAGGCGGATGTTCTCAAGTTCTTGACAAAGAAGGTTGCTAGGCACCCTAAAGGGCTGACCACTCTCGAAGTAGACGTTGCATGTCGGACTTGCATAGGGGCTTTGGAGAATCGTTAGTCGAAGATGCCAGATCCCAATGTAGGATATCAGAGTAGACTTACGACACCTCGGGACCTACGTCCTGCGTATGTCCCACAGAGGTCTCTGGGATGTGATTACTCGCCTGATCAAGCGGCGAGGCTGGGGACCATCCGTTTGTGTCCATGGCTAGTGGAAAACCTACTGAATCGAGTAAGGTAGGAAGATAGAGTCCGAAGACACGGTGCTACGACGGGCTTTTAATAATCTTGCTCTTGAGTCGCGGCTCAATAATGAATACTGGCAAATATAATATGTTCCATCCCCTCCTAGAGTTTCCTCCTCATGTTTTGTCGTTGGGCTTCAAGTTTCGCCCCCTAAGAAGGCTCAGGTCGAGCTGGAGCACACCCATCAATTCCGTTGTTGTGGGTGCCACGTTGAAGCGCAGCAAGCTCTCACGACATTTTCACACCGAACCACGCAGCGATTGGTTGCCCTGGAAAGTCATTCGTCAATCAGTTGCCGTGCAATATGATGAGGCCAATAACCGTACATAGTTTATATGTATTGTACTTATTGTTGGCGAATGCATCCCGCATGCAGTAATCATGCGTTCGTTCCCAATGGCGCGTATTACGGGGAATACCCCGCGTTATTCTCACTATACCTGCAGGCTCTGTTGGCAGGAGATGCATCCTTTACACCCTCTCAGTGAGCTGCCACCTATTGGAAGCCGTGATTTCACGAGACCGGCTTCAGAGATTGATGCAAGTAACATGCCGCTTAGACGCTGTCACACACGGATTTTACACTAGGAATTGACCTTCAAGGCCTAGGCTTTATTGAGCCTGGAGGGCTGTCGTTTTTCAAGGCAAATAACTGTGGACATTCTTAGGGTATTCGCATCATGGAGGCAAAGCTAGCCTGATTCAAAGTGACTCTCATTCAAACAGTATTTAACTCATTCGGAACGGACCGACTCAGATGTGCTCACACAGGTGCGTGGAGACCAATACAAAAGCCGAAGTACCATTTATTTCGTTTTATCATAACAAAATACAGAAGGTGGGTTTTGGTATGAGAACATGAACGGCTCAATAGCGGACGCATTGCCAAATCGCTGAAGACAAGAGATAGTAGGAAGATCTACGGTAGGAGAGCATCTTTCGATTAGTCAAGGGCCCGGTACAAAAGACAGGCTCCGGACAAAATGACGAGATAGTCAAAACCTGGCCCAATGGCCGGTTAACTCCCTGTTTCCATCAATAGATGTCTCGGATCGGAATTTGTTTGACTGTTATTTATACTTTATCCGTTCTTCAAACCTTCTTAGTTTTGCCTTCGGCTGCAGAGGCTCAGCCAATTAGGCTCCGTCTCCCCCTAAATCTGCATCATTTCTGCTCGCCTTGCCTTGGCCCGCTTCACTTTTGGGGATACCATCCGAGCCAGTAAGATGTATGTGGCGTGCCTCAGGCGTGCGCACGCCGCTGGGCTGCTTCCTTGAGTGTCAAATTAGGCAAATAAGTTTCCAATGCATTGCATCCGACTATAAGCTTACTTACGTTGGAATAACTGTTCAAAATATCTGGTGTCTGAAGTTCAGGCAATTCCATTACCTTAAGTATGTTAGAGAATATGCACCAGGTTTTCAAGACACCTTTTATATTTGCCTGAAATCTAATTCCGACTCCCATGGGTTTCATTGACGCTTCAAGATAAATGTATGCTAATCAAAAGTTATTTTAATCAAAAGTTATTAACGAGAGGTCAGAAAAAGAGCAGTCGCTTTGTAGTTGGTTGGAGCATTAATGGTGCTGATAGAGGCTGTCACCCAGTTAGTACGATCAGTTTTAACGATAGATTCCACCAAAAAAGCAAAAAGTTATAAATATGAGTAACGCGAGTAGATCAAGTATTACATATAAACAGGCAGATATATTTGGTTATAAGGTACAGTTTCTACATACTATCTAGATTAATAATACGTAAAGCGCTTGTCAATCATAATAAAGTCTGCCTATCGCCCAGACATGCTTTCGGCCAACGATCATGTCCACGCTTTTGTCTCCAGGACATTGCGACTATTGCAATCCAAGTCTTATGCGATGCATTAGTCAACCACGAAGTGTGAGTGTCTCAGCTGAGTTTCGGGAGTCGAGGTCGGTGATCGGCCGGAGAAATGGAACTTCGTTATAATCGTCAAGAATGTTCAATAACAGCTATCCAATCATGGGAACTGGGTGTGGGTTATGAGGCCCGCTGTTATTGGCTTAATCATTAACGTATATAATATTCCACTCAATCACAATGTGAAGGAGGATCGAAGAGGCAGATTTCGGCTGCTTGCTCCTACGAAAATGGTATAATTACCACCTTGAAGCGTCCAAGCTTGAGCCACAACGTCCCAAATGCTGAGATCTCTTCGTGTCAATTCAAATTGAATGGTAGCGCTGTCTCCCATCTCCAATGACACCTTATCAAAGCCTCGAAGCTGTTTCGGGGGGCTATTGGGGATTGCGACGTATAACTGTACAACTTCCTCGCCAGCACGACTGCCAGTATTGTTGAATGATGCCTCAACATTCAGTATAACCTCCCACAAGGCATTAGTATTTGATGCAGCGCCTATCAAAACATTCTGCGTCTTGACCAGGAGGGAAGAGTAGGTGAATTGTGTGTACGTCAAGCCAAAGCCGAATTCAAATCTTGGCTCGATGCCTCTTTCGTCAAAGGCGCGATAGTCAACGAATACGCCTTCAGTGAAATCACACTGGGGACTGGTGGTGTTTGCCTGCCTCACACAGGGTGCGTACACTGGATAGTCGCTTTCGTTTCGCGCCAAAGTATACGGGAGCTTCCCAGAGAATGAAGCCTCACCATATAAGAGCTTAACAAGGGCTGATCCACTGTCTTGACCCGGCAGATGGGCGATGACTGTAGCCGTAACATTTGGGTGATCAATCCACTGATCGACCAGGCGAATGCCGGCTGTATGAACGACCACAATTGTGTTGGCGCACTTGTCAGCTACACTCAAGACGAGGCCATCGCTGAAATCGTCGTGCAAGCCATCTCGATCCCATCCTTCGGTTGCCATGGCGTTGATGAAAACCAGGCAGACGTCACTGGCAGCATTGACATCGGGATCTCCAGACACCAAATCCCAATTTACCCAAGTGCCATCTATTGCGGCTTTATGTTGTAGCGAACTTAAAGGCTAGAGCCCCGTCAGCTCGAAATAACCCATCTGGGAGAGTTTGATGCTTACATCGAGTAGGTATGAAGGCGCATTGGCTGCAGCACGCCCCCCACTGACAATGGTCCCCCCCTTGGCTGCCTGGTCGAAATGCCTCTCTGTTCCCAGTATAGCCTGAGCCATCTCGGGGGAGGAGTAGTATCCAAGCTCAAAAAGTTTGTCGGTATTCTTCGTCGAAGGTA